AGATCATGAACGATCGGTTTGAGGCCCTTCATGTTCCTGGAGCGAACAGATGCCATTGGGCTACACTAGCACACGACAGGGACAAATGGAGACGTTACTGGCGCCCGCTCGAGCAAATCGACGACTAACGGGAAGTTAAGTGAAGTGATTAAGTTAAGTGTGTAAACACATCAAGTATAATTAAAGTCATTTAAATTTCTTGCTAGGAGAAAAATAGATTGAAAACCTTATTTTTTCCTCTAGACAGACTAAGAATTTGAATAGAAGAGTGATAAGCAAATGGGGAAACATGAGTCTAAAATTTATAAATAATATAACAACTTTGGCAGTGTTACATGGCCATATAATTTATTGTTAAAAGAAAAATGGCTTCAGCTTTGAAGGACAGTTCCCCACAAGAGGGTGGAAATGAAAAATAAGGAAGTGAGCAGAAAATACTCTGTAAAAAGCCAAACAACATTTGAGCATGTTGGCAGTAAAAATGTGAGATAAAAGTGGATAAAAAAGTGGATAAAAGATTAAGCAACATAAGGCTATTTTATTGATTTTACTTAGAAGTTAAAGGGAAAATATAACAGCATACCAGATTAAATTTTTTTGAAATTCAAATAGATGTAGACAGGACTACAGTTGTAGTGAAAAAATATTTGAAATTTGTTTCTATCTTTTTATAGTTCAAGAAGAAAAAATTAGATGGAGATATATAAAAATTAATATAAATGACAAGATTAAAACATATGTACATTGAAACCTAAAATGTGAGTATTTATTATTTCAAATGATACTTAGGTTTCAAAGAGAAATAGTATTTCTAATACTAAATAAGACATGTATTTTTACCACATTTGCATTCATATTAGTGTTTATTAATAACTAAATAAGTCAGAAAAAGTCACACTCATTAGAAATGAAGAAAAGATAAAAAGGCAGTTTTCTCAAAGAGGAAACCATCGTTGCAAATACCAACTGCCCCCTGTTTTCTGATTTGTGGCAGTGGTATGCTCAGAGGATATTATAAAGCATATTTTACGTTTGGTAAAAAGCATAGGGATCTGAGAGAGTAGTAGCAGTATCTTAAGTTGATTAAGACGCCGTTATATGAATCCAGCAAGAAGACCAGGATGGTACTTTTGGGCTAGTAAGAGAGAATCCAGATATGTTTTGTTTGAGAAATGTTAGGAATTGCGGACAGATAGGATAACATGTAAGTGAAAGCCGGAACACCTTAGGCCCTGGGACACTGAAGCCCTAACCGAGAGAGTCATCAGCAGGAGGAGCTTGGTTCCTGTGAGAGAAGGCAGTTATTAGCACCTGTGATTGGCCCTTAGGGTTAGGGCCTGAGGGCCTGGCCTGAGTGCATGTTTGACATGGCAGGCCCTCTTAAATCTGGTATGACATGGTCCCTGAGGCTCTTAAGCACAGGATGAGGAACAGACCTTGAGCATGGCGTGGCGTGGCTCCTGGACACAAAAGGGGAAGGGGAAATAGGAACATTTCATTTGAGTTGGGGCCATGCCCAGTGGTGCTCAGGGATACTTCTGGCTCTGTTTAGGGGCTGCTCCTGGAGGTGTTCAGGGACATATGGCAGCAGAACTTGGACCCAGGCCTCCCTCATGGGAAGCATGCTCTCAGCCCACCAAATTTTCTGGCCTGTAAGGGCCATTTTGCCTGAAAAATCACATGGAAAAATAAATGCTTGAGAGAAATCATAGAAAATACATCAATTCTGATTGGAACTTGTGTTAGCAGGTATCAGAACATGAAATATGTACCATCTGTGTTAGAGTCTATATTGAAATGATACAGCGATGGACAGAAAGGCCTCAGTGCAAGCTTGAAAGGTTATCTTAGGGGATATAAGTGTTTATTATATTCTTAACAGTCATTAGAGTAGGATAAGCTATTTAACAAATAGAGCCAGTCCAATGGGAATCCATTTGGAAGGAAGTAAAATAAATCCTGAAAGTAATAGAGAAGACAACATATATAATGTCTGAGTGAAGTGTTCAACCAAGGCCTGAAACCTTAAAAATAAGTAGCACTGTAGCACTGTCCTCCTGTCGTTCATCGATTTGTTCGAGCAGGCCCAGTAACATCTCCATTGTGAGACTTCTTATTACTGTGTTTGGCATATTGAATACGTCACTGGTAGCTTGCCAGGCTTTGCAGTGCGGGCGTGATACGCTCGGTAGCTTGCTGGGCTCCCCAAGAGGGGCAGGAGGAATTGAACCCGGCTCAGCCTGAGCATCACTGGGTGTGACCCAAAAAGCAAAAAAAAAAAAAAAAAGAAAGAAAGAAAATGTATGTTAATGGGTCAGAGTGATAATACATCAGGTAAGACATTTGCCTTGTATGCAGCTGATCCTGGTTTGATCCCCAGCATCCCATATATGTGGTCCCCAGAGCACCACCAGGACTAATTCCTAACTGCTGGGCCAGGAATTGCTGAGCAATCCCTGAGCATCACTGGGTGTCACCCCAAAACAAATACACAAATGGAGAAGAATGTGTATTTGTTAGTAAGAAATAAATCAATGATAATTGATCATTGGTAGAGTAATGCTAAGTTCTATTGTTAAAAGAAGTATGAGGGAAGAAGGCTTTTTGTAAATTGTAGCTAGATCCTCCATCGCCCCCAATATTCCTAATGAGGTGATAGAGTTTCTGGTCAAATAGAAGCATATATGGGAGTGTATGTTTCTGGTGCTGACACTGAGGCCCCAGGCAGCTCACAGGGATGACCACCCCGTGGATGCTTTCTCTGTGATTATGAAGATCCATTCATGGGTATGCAGGGTCTTTAGCTGTGAGTGCGTTGTGTGTCAGAGACTGCAAGCATAAGGTAAAGGTAAAGGTAAAGGCCCTCCCGTTGTTCGTCGATTTGCTCGAGCGGGCCCAGTAACGTCTCCATTGGAGACTTTGTTGTTACTGTGTTTGGCATATCAAATACTTCACGGGGAGCTTGCCAGGTTCTGCCGTGCGGGTGAGATACTCTCGGTAACTTGCCGGGCTCTCCGAGAGGGGCAGAGGAATCGAACTCAGGTCTGCCATGTGGGCTGTGTGCAAGGCAAAACGCCCTACCGCTGTGCTATCGCTCCAGTCCTCTGCAAGCATAGGGCATGAATTTTTTAAATTACCAGAGCCCAAGAACAAACTATGTTGATTTTTATTTGTATGTAAGAGTAAACACTACTTCTTTGTGTAAGTAGTACTTTTAAATTTAATTTTTTAAATTTAAGAACCCTGATTTACAAAGTTACTGGTAGATGAGTTTAGGCTTACAGTCTTCCAAACACCAGGGGCTTTAAAGGATTACTTTCAACATTGGCACTATTTCATTGATCTGGAACAATAAAAGTTTCTGCTGTAATGAAAACTGTTCACAGTACATACCCTGTTATGTGCTTGCTAGCACTTTGCATGTATTGATACAACTAAAGAGCCAGATTTCTTATTTGATTTAGACAAATGTAACTTTCTGTAAAAGCACTTTCATGTGGATCTTACACACCCTGTCAGGCCAGGCCGGACCCCTTGTTGTCGACTTGCTGTGTGGGCCCATGAAGATGTTTTTTTCTGGCAGATTATCACCAAATGCCAGTTAGATTGCAGTCAGGTATGCAGGCTTGACATTCGCCAGAAGCAAACGGCTCTTCAAATGATGTTTGGTGAACAAAAGATCAGAATAGGGGAGGTGTTAGCAGCAGGTATTCAGTGGGAAAAGAAGTGAAGAAGCTAAGTGGTCTCCGCCTTGTCCGCAGCCCTGGTGCTGGAGAAGTGCGCCTGTGTCTTCTCTGTGCATGCTCGCCACCCATCTCCACACTTCGCTCCTGGTCTGCCGTCACTCTCTGCTGGGCTCTCTGCTTCTTCTCTCCTGTGGTTCTCCTTCAGAGCCTTGAGTATACTCTGTAAATGGGTCATGGGCCTCTATTCCTGGTTGTCTCCTCTTGTAACATTTGTGGACCTTTTAAGGCAATGGCTTTGTTAGATGCAACATTTCAGGAATGATGCTGAGTAAGGATGTAGGATTCAGGGTGAGAACACATGCTGTAGCCCAGTCTCGGGGCCAGGGCATTTTTCTCTGCAACTGCGGTGGGTAGACCATCTGAGGTCTGAGAGTCCTGATCGGCTCTGATTGTTGCCTACCAGTTCAGGTATTTCCCGTGGAGGAAGGGCCCCAACATTTTTTTTTGTATTCCCATTTATTTATAGCAGCAAACCAAGCTATTTAAAAGTTTGCCTGTTTAAAAAATAATAATTTGCAATTCCATGTCACTGATAAATGCTTATTTTTCATAGTTTGTTCTGTGTGTGGCTTTTGTCAGATCATTGGAAACTCATTTAAGAAGGAAAAATAAAGGATTTAACCATTCATGTTGTCATTATTCATTGATTTTGAATTCTATTAGAAAATCTACCAATATAAATATTTAGTAAGTGGTTGTATATACAGAGTAATAGAACTTGTGAAATAAAAAATATATCTGTGTACTTTCTCTCTGGGAAATAAATCCAAAGTAGAAAGACTTACTCTGTACAAATTCTTAAATATGATTTTTTAGTGGTGGATAACAAAGTAGACAAATATAATTAAACATAAAGTATAAATCTTTTATGTAGTTTATGGAAACAAACAGATTGACTTGTAAACCAAACAAGTGAAATTTGTATTTAAATTATGATTTTTAATTTTGCTTCTGTTTATTCTTTCATGGATTTTGATGGGGAAGAATCTTTAGGAGTGGAGTGCATAGAACAGAACAAATAAAAAGACAGAAAATAAAAGAAAAGCGACATTTTCTCTAAGACTTCAAATATGGGAAATGTATACTCTGGCAAGTGTTTAGTTTCTGTTCTTCCCATCTGTTTGAAGATAAAGCTGGAGTCTATCATTTTCATTTGCAAAGAACAAAATGTACATCTAGACTAGAAAGCTTGTTTCAGGCATATGATTGTTGCCATATATTTTTGCTGAAGCCTTTCTGTGTTTGTTTCAATAGAGTCCCGTGAAGATAAACCAGATCAGCCTGGATGAAAGTGGAGAGCACATGGGGGTGTGTTCAGAGGACGGCAAGGTACGGAGCTGGTGACTCTCGTCCAGAGCAGGGCACCTGACTCGCTCGCAGGTGCTCAAAAGGCTGCCTGTGCTTCCAGACCACCTGCACTAGCAGATCCTTGATTATTCTCTTAGGGTATTGAACTTACTTCCAATTGCTCATAATTAAAGTAAAATATATTTTGCACAAATATGCCTTAGGAAAAGTAATTACAAGAATGTCAATAATGTAACTAGCACTAAGCTGATTAACAGCTGTGGCAGGGGGGACATGTCACCTTAATCATTACTGCTGTGCCACTTATACTTCAGTGACTAGTCTGCAGTTCCTGCAAGACAGTGGCTTAATGCCTTTCTCCCATAAATCCACAAAATTGGATTCTGTGGGCATGATTTCTGTGGGCTGGTGGTTTTCATTTCCACATACAAGTTATGAATGCTTCTCTTGAATTATAGAATCTTTTGATAAGCAATCATAGTTTATCAGAAGAATAAAGTGTCCTACAACGGCCACATTAAATAAATGTAAAATCAATATATGTACAGTTTTCTAAAAACCTGGCATCCGCTTCCTCGACCAAGGACATACATCATTTGTGCAGTGTATAACTAACAATTATCAGTGCTTCTTGCTGATGTGGAGCTGTGACATTTAGTGGTTCTGGTGATTGATTTTCCACTTATAAGAATGTCTTTTTTTGTTTTTCAGTCAATGGAAGTCCTTTCTAATGTTGGTTTGTGATGATAAAATTCTAATGCATAGTGTATTTAAGCTCGTTTTCTAAAATAACAGTTTGAGAAGAGAGTGCATTAAGATTCGTCGCGGAACATGACATATTCCCCCTGAATACGGCACATTTCCTAATCTAATTTTGTGTTTTTTATGTGATCTAAATTCAATGGGCCATTAGGATGAGTGAATTAAAAACAATGTACTCAGTATGAAAGATTTATACCCATTTAATTTGTTAACAGAAGAAAAATGAAGTCCTCTTGACATATAAGAACGCATTTTATATATTGAAACCTAATGCTGCCCAGAGTATTTTGAAATAGGAACTGTAACATGGTGCTCTTCAGTAAGCACTGTCAAAATTCTATGCTGCTTCCTGAGATTCTAGATGAACCAGACTGTCAGAGAGGATGAGGGGGTTGGTGCTCTCACGAATTGAGAAGTCTCATCCAGACTGAGAGGCATGTTCCTGTTGTGTATTTGTGAGGACTGACTATCTTCGTTTTGTTTCCTTAAAGAGGAAGGATTCCTTCTGCACCCATAGAAATTTCATGAAATTAATTTGTTGAAAGAATATTCTTTTTTTTTTTTTCAGATTCTAAAAGATTTCTTTCCTTTCTTTTTCTTTTTTTTTTTTGGCAGGGGTGGGGTGGGGTGCAGGAAGCCCTCCCAAATCCAGGGCCATGGGGACTCTGGTTGGCAAGTGCTTCAGGGCCAGTTCCCTATGGCGCTGAGGAGCACTGGGCACTGCTTCTCCAATGGTCAGGGAACCACCTGGGAACAGAGATCAGACCCAGTCAGGCGCCTCCCTCAGGGAGCCCTGCACGCCCCTTGGGCCCAGCCTGGACAGGAATGCACTGCAGCACCTCCTCTGAGAGTTTTCAGGGCACTCAGATGAGGAGATATTACTGGATGTGTTGGTGTGGGATGCTTGCCTGTTGGTGGAAGGGAGCATGTGACTGCTTCACAGCCAAGCTAGCTCCAACACGCTTGTTGACAGGTGTCTCTGCCCTCCTGTCTCAGATGAAATGCAGGAGTGTTTGGGTGTGGGACCAAACTATGTTCTATGAAGTGGTTTTCTCCTATTTTGGTAGCACTCACAGATATGAAAGTAAGTACTGAAGTGCATGTATTTAAGTAATCTAGCCTTTATGATGTCCGCATTGTTCAGAATAAGCTGGTAAAATAGTTCGTGATGAAGAAAACATAGAGCTTATTAGAGGTGAACCCTGAATATTTCAATTCACCATATTGTTAAGTGGATGTTTTGATTTTTCTTTCTTTTAAAAAGTTTTTAATTTTTGTTTTTGGTGCTTTGGACTGACTCCTGGTGGGGTATGGGGAACCATATGGGATGCAGGGATAGAATCCAAGTTGTCTATGTGGAATGCAGGTGCCCTACCCATTGTACTATCACTCCAGCCCTTTTTTCTTTCTTTAGTGTGTTTGTCTTATTTGTCTCATTTATCTTCTATTTTCAGAATGACCTTTGATATTTGTATATAATTTTAAAGTCATAATCCTAGTAGTTGTTTAAAGTTTTATTATGTTTCTTTGGCTAGTGTTTGTTTCTAATTTTTTGAGGGGGAATGAGGGTGGCGTCACACCTGGGGTGCTCAGGGTTTACTCCTGGCTCTGTGCTCAGGGATGATTCCTAGTGGTACTTGGGAAACCATATAGGAATGCCGAGGATTGAACTGAGGTCGGCTGCTTAAAAGGGAAATGCCCTGTTCATTGTACTATCTCTCCGGCCCCACATGATTTATTTTCTCTTCTCATGCTTGTGTTGCCTTCATTTAGTGTCCTGGGTTGAAATTTTTTCTCTCAAAACTTTGGTGCTGCAGCTGCCTTTTTTTTTTTTTTTTTTTATTGAATCACTGTGGGAAAGGTTACAAAGCTTTCAGGTTTAGGTCTCAGTCATGCAAATATCAAACACATTTCCCTTTACCGATACTTATTTTTTACCATGAAGAACCCCAATAAAACCCCACCCCCCACCCCTCCCAGTCCCTGTGAGGCAGATGAATTCTAGTTAACACTCTGTCTGCTTTGATTAGATTCACTGTTTCAATAAAAGATTCACCACTATTATTTAGAGTTTACCCCCCCCGCCCCAAATCAGACATGCTGAAAAAGCATTGTGAAGTGATTTGCTTTCTACAGCTGGGTTCAAGAGTTAAATGTTGGTTTTGGATTTCTGCTATTTTACTTATTGACCCTGGAAGTATTTCTACTGAAAGTCAGATAGTTAAGAAATTAGCTTCTGTGTTCTGGAGTCGTGGCCGTGCTGGAGAGCCGCTCGTGGAGGGCAACTGGTGGCCTCGGTAAGGCGTGAAGGGCGGATCGAAACGCCCTCCTTCCCATGAGGTTTTAGTCGCCCCCACACCCCTGGCTCATACCTGCTGTCCACAAGGCTCCCATGCGGCCGCCATCTTTCTTTCCAGAGAAGAGAGGGCGAATGGGACAACACCCTTTCCCCTCTGGGCAGACATGATGGCCTGGATTAACACATAGTCCATTCACTTTTCTGCTCCAAGCTGCTGGGTTCTTCATTAAGTCCTTGTGTTTCTGGGGCTGTGGCCGTGCTCCAAACTTAACTCTGATTTTCAGGGAGAAAGGTTGGGTGGTTTACTTCCCATTGATCACTTTGTATATAGAGAGATGTCCGGGGTCGCGTAAGCGGCCGTGCGGTTTTGAGAAAAAGTCCTAGTTCCCACATACTCGAGCTGTGCTTGTAGAGGCTTCTGGTCACCGGGGTTCCATCTGGGGGAGGCGGGATGCGGTATCTACCCCATCTGGGACTTCCTGGTGATCTCGGCTCTTTTTGGAACCTGTTTTTTTTTTTTTCCTCCGGGATCCGTGGTTCCCGCCCTCCATGTGGTCCTTCTCTTTGGCTGTATGTTGTAAAGATGGCGCTGGGGGGCAGGCTGTGGGCGTGACTTCTGGAATCAGAGGTTACCTGGGAGGTGTAGTCCGGCAGATTTGAGAAAAAGTCCTAGTTCCCGCATACACGAGCTGTGCTTGTAGAGGCTTCTGGTCACCGGGGTTCCATCTGGGGGAGGCGGGATGCGGTATCTACCCCATCTGGGACTTCCTGGTGATCTCGGCTCTTTTTGGAACCTGTTTTTTTTTTTTTTCCCTCCGGGATCTGTGGTTCCCGCCCTCCATGTGGTCCTTCTCTTTGGCTGTATGTTGTAAAGATGGCGCTGGGGGGCAGGCTGTGGGCGTGACTTCTGGAATCAGAGGTTACCTGGGAGGTGTAGTCCCGGCAGATTTGAGAAAAAGTCCTAGTTCCCGCATACTCGAGCTGTGCTTGTAGAGGCTTCTGGTCACCGGGGTTCCATCTGGGGGAGGCGGGATGCGATACCTACCCCATCTGGGACTTCCCGGTGATCTCGGCTCTTTTTGGAACCTGTTTTTTTTTTTCCTCCGGGATCTGTGGTTCCCGCCCTCCATGTGGTCCTTCTCTTTGGCTGTATGTTCGCAGCTGCCTTTAAACTTCATTTTACTCTACATGTCCAACACAAGCCTGTTTTTCTTTCTTTCTCTTTTTAAATGGAACCTTAAGAAATTATTTTTGCTCTGCTCTGGAGTTTGGACCAACTACAACAGTAACAACAGGAGCTTTAAAAGTTTCTTTTAATTCCATTTCCCTCATTCCATCTGTCTCATTCAGGTCTATTTTTATTAATTTTGTCTGAAACATAATAAGTGCTCTTGATCCATATACTGAGGTATTGTTTTAATTTCAGGAGTGGGGGCTTCCGTTACGATTTTGATTATTGCTTCAGTTCCATTTGTTTTCATTTTCTCTAAGAAACTTAATAACGCTTGAGCTGGAGGCAGTGCTGTGAGAGGCTGCATGCACTGTGTCGGCCTGCCCGGGTGGTATTTGGCTGAGAGAACCGTTTGACCTGCTGGCATCTGCGAGCTGCAGGGGCCCCGGGCGTATGGCAGACCTGCGCACGGGGCTGTCACCAGATGCTAGCCCACCGTGAACTCGGAGGCCGAGTGAACGGATTTTATTGCTAGTCATTCACTTTCCTGACTCGTGGCCTGGCTTCTTCCCCTGCAGCATTATTGTACGGAAACTTTCCCAAATGAGAGGGTGTATAGGTAAACAAGACTCTGAAAGTCCACAGAGGAGAAAAATGGGCCATCCTGGAGGACCCACTTGTGTTTGACTTCTCATTGTTGTTCTTAGTTCCCAAAGCTGTGGCCCATTTCTCTGCTTACTTAAGCAAGTAATTCTTCAGCAAGATAGGGCTTTTTTTACAACGCAATTT